TTTACATTCTAATGCTGTATGAGTTTATTACTCGTGTTTTCGGCTTGAACAGAAAACGCCTGATCCGGTTCGGTCATTGGTTTTGAATATCTGTTTTAAAATATCACTCTATCTGATATCCTCCTGAATTCTTCTTCTCCGTTGTAGTCTGTTGAGACATAAAAAGTTGTTGTGAAGACTGTTTCCGGGATGATGTCAGTCCCTAATTATAAGAATGGGTGTCTGATTTTATTAGTTATTGTTGTATGTCCTAAGTGTTTAATTTCCAGTTTGATTGTTTCTGGAGCCAAAATGATTCTGCTCACTTCTACCTGTATAAATATGCCCAAAGGAGGTAGGTTTAACATAGTTTCTAGTGCAATTGTATTTTTTTTTTTTTCATTGCCTCTGTATTTTTATTCATTAATTTCAGTTTAAACCTTAGCATTAGTGCAATTATAATCAGTATGGCACCGTTTTTTAATAAAAACATACGCTGAAATAATTATCGTTTTTACAGGTTTGTCAAGTTTTATCTTTTTTCGAATATATGGAAAAAAGAACAGTCCAATAAAATAAATGTATTAGATACTTTTAACTCATTCTCAAAAACTGACTGATTACACGGTAAAAGTAAACCTGTAATTTAAGCGGCATAAATACAAGGTGGCCCCAATCGATTCAGCCACACTTCCAGATCTTATAGGAAATTGAACGCTGAGTAAAAAAGGTCCTATGAACCTGTGTCCGCAAATCCTTCAGTTCCGAGCTACAGGCTAAAAACCATGAAAAACCACGTTTTTTTTACCTTATTCGTGAAATTGTTAGTAAACCGTTAGCCTGACCGTAAATCAGCTCGAAACGACATCTGTAGAGGATTAATTTCTGCGTCTCTAATGAGATTAAAACTAGCCTGATCGGACGAAAATTTCATTTTTGGTGATTTTTCGAAGTTAGGAGGTGAAGGGATACACAAAATTCACCATTTCTGACATTTTTATCGATTTTGCAAACACTTTCTAAAATTGGTAAGTAAGCTGTTCAGATTTTTCGTACATTATTTCATTCAGTAGGGGGTACCCATCAGAAATCTAACATTCGATTTGGTTGAAAAGCAGTAAATTAGCCAAAATTTGAATGTTTCATGAATCGGATTGGGGTTGGTCTAATGTGACGGAGAATTCGATCACCAACAAACGAGGTTTGTAACGGAGAATTTTTTCATAGGGTGTTCAAGTTGTGAATTTTCGATAAAATGTCAGAAATGGTGAATTTTTTGTACAGGGGTACAAAATACAATACAAAATACAAAATACAGGTGAAGGGTCACCTCCTAACATCGAAAAATCGCCAAAAATGAAATTTTCGTCCGATCAGGCTGGTTTTAATCTCATTAGAGACGCAGAAATTAATCCTCTACAGATGTCGTTTCGAGCTGATTTACGGTCAGGCTAACGGTTTACTAACAATTTCACGAATAAGGTAAAAAAACGTGGTTTTTCAAGGTTTTTTGCCTGTAGCTCGGAACTGAAGGATTTGCGGACACAGGTTCATAGGACCTTTTTTACTCAGCGTTCAATTTCCTATAAGATCTGGAAGTGTGGCTGAATCGATTGGGGCTACCGTTGGTCAAAACAAATTTTTTGGCCTAGAAGATTCTGTGAAGTGATAGTTTTTCCAATTTTTTCTGGTGTACCACGGCCTAAATTGTTAACTCTTTTATATTCATTATATAATTCTAACCAATTTTCTCTAAAATCTTCTAAAAAAATGATTTCTGCAACAAATTTGCACTTTTTACATACGATAGTAAAATCAATTCTATAATAAAAAGAAAATCAATATATATTTGGTCAAAAGCATTCTTGTCATTTAATTTTTTAGAAATATACTGTAAATTGATAGTAATTTTTCTTCCAATAAATTCACTAATTTCGTGGTCCGCTTGACTAATTAAATCATTACAATTTTCATCTCAAATAAAAACCTTAATTAGTTGTCAATTTTTTTCTTGGGCACCACAGTAACAAAATTTTCGAACAAATTCTTTGCTTGCCAGTGATTTATCTATTAAGGTGGTACATACACATATACATATAAGTTACGCCTCCGTTTTAACAACGAGACTTCTTTGAAACAATAATTATCTCAGTGCTTAGGAATGTGTGGACTCAACAATTGCCCCTTCTTTCAATTGTTCCCTTTAGATAAGCTTCTCATTCCTGGTTAGTTACAACTCAGTTAACGGACAGTAAAGATCCGAACATTTAATTGTTATAAAATAATGGGTACCGCCCAATACATCCGGATAGAGGGAAAACGAGTAAAGCCAAGCGATCAAGTCAAGTACTTGGGAGTAATATTAGGCGATAACCTGAACCCAGTACACCACGCTATTAAAATAACGGAAACGACAAGAAGGGTGTACAATAGATTGAACGGAATAGCGAATGTGGAATATGGACTTAGCACAAAAGCGCTCTCCACAATCTATAAAAGTGTCTTCCTCCCAATAGCAAGTTATGGTGCAGCCGTGGGCCAAACGACTGCCGAGCAAAAGCAAAGCTATAATAGAGCAAAACCAACGAATAGTTGTTATAACAACCATAAAAGGGTACAGGACGATTTCAACACACGCCCTACAAGTAATAGCCAACCCACCGCCAATAGACCTAGTCCTTAAAGAAAGGGTGGTCATCCACCAAAAAAAGAAAAATGAGGCAATTGATATAGGAGCAAGCCAAGGAGAAATAAACTGGTTCCGAAGCACAACTGGGAAGGAGGCAAAAGAGGGAAAAATGACAAGGGTATCATGACAAGGAAGATGGACAAACAGCAATAAAGGTCGGCTGACATCCAAATTTTTCCCCAGCGTTGAAAAAAGACAAAAAGCAAAATGGACCCCGACTACTGGACCACCCAAATGCTATCAGGACATGGAAACTTCGCAAGCTATCTTCATAAATATAAGAAAAGAGAAAGCCATTTATGCTCTGTTTGCAGCACTGAAGACAACGCCGAACATAAACTCCTCAGCTGTACCAAATTTAATGTAGAAAGAGAACGTTTGCGAAAGACCATCACCTCAGCAGAATGGCCGCCTAATCTCCAAAAGCTAGTCTGTGATATCAAATCATTTGAAGCACTAAAAGACTTTGCCTCAAATACGCTTAAATGAACATGTCCCTATTTATTATAATTATTAAGTCCTAAATAATGTTATTATTGTTAGAGTTTTATTACCATTATTTATTTATTTATTGCATAATTAAACATAGGTTTAGGGTTCCGGGCTGTTTTCTTCTTCTTAGTAAGAAAATTTTAGATAATATAAATAGATAGAAAATAAAATCAAGGAAAAGTAAATGTGCAATGTGAAACCAGCAAGGGAAGACCTTTTGTTTTATGGTTATTTTTAAAATGAAAATATGGTCCCTTCAAAAACCGACCAGCGGTCTCGCCTGAAGGAAAGATCGTTGGGAGGTATTTTTATCGTATTTATTTGAAATCCTTTAGATATACAAATTCGATTAAGCTAAAGCGCTTGTCCGCCGGTATAGGGTCTTCCTCTGGTACGGCGGGGTGGTGGAAATAAAATAATCTAGACCGTGAATAGGAAAGTTATTCTCTGTAACCATTTTGTGTTATTTAGTAATAAAGATTCTTTTTTAAAAAGTCTTTCGTCTAAATCTTGCACATAACTTATATATAGAAATATTTCTATAAAATGTTATACATATAAATGCAGTTTTTCTGACCTTCCCAACAGCCATGACACGCCCCGGTTGATGGCCACATTTTCTGTCCAGTGATCTAATCCGACCCATTTTTCAAGGGAATGGCCAAGTCAGTAAATTCTCCGCGTACTTTGGTCAATTTCTACAGGTACAAGTTTTTATTTATTTATCAGTAATGATGAGCTTCGAATCGGATGTTTATTACGTTCGTTATAGTTTGAAATAGTGAATCATCCTATGATGAATAATCATCGAGGATTTGATTTTTAATTATTCAAATAAAGCTTTTACCTCTGAAATTAATTGAGCGAGTTAAATTTTATTTTAATCTATGATTTCAATTTTTTTTTAATATTCATTTTTCTTGGAACCGCATCGATGTCAGACGGTCAAATTATTATATATCGGCCTTGTTCGGTTGGCCCAGATACTAACCGACTATTTCAATATAATTATTTGGCCGAATTGAAATCACCATTTTAACAATTAATGAGGTTCTTTTTATGCGAGTCTACAATTTTTTTTTTCATTTTAAAGGTTTGAAAGAAATGATCATTTTATATTTTTCTGCATGAAATCACAATAGATAAGTTTGATATTCATAGAAAAGGAAAGATTTCGTAGATTATTAATTTTACATACAATTTGAATATAATAACAATATATGAATAAAACTATGGCAATAACCTTCTACTAGACTGCAAAAGGAAAGTGAAATAATTCTTGTCATACAGAAGGACTAAACATTTAACTATGGACGAAGGGTCCAACCAGTTTACAATACATTTTACACATTATTACTAATCAAAATACCAACTCGGCAACTGCGCCACCCCCTCAATAAAAGGAAATATATTTAAAATTGAGCAAATCAAAAAGACAAGCAAAATGCTCATAATAAGAATATCAATAGTTGTTTATTATTCTATTATCAAATTATAATTATTAAAACAAATTACATAATACATATCGTAAAAGGTTAATACAAATTCTGAGATAAAGTTTTTGGTAATTTAAATTTATTTAAACATTATATTATTCAGTTGCTTAAACAACTAATTAATTTTGTGCGAATTTGTTTGGACTGCTGAAGAATTGCCGAACGTGTAGCAAGAAACGCAAGACAGGACAAAAGTACAATTCCTGCTAATGAACCTACATAATATAGTTATGACATATAATATAAAATAAATGCTGTAAGGGTACCCATGACCTTTTCTCTTTAACTGTGGGCTAATATGAATGAGTTGGTATGATCCGTGGAGAAATGGCCTTGCCAGGGGGTGTGTCCACCTGAGGGGAGGAATATAAAAGGCACTGCGTTTTAGATTGAAGTCAGTTTGTGTCTCAACGCAGATCTTTCAACATGTACAAGGTAGAAACAAAAGTGATTGAAAGAAAAATTTTAGATTTTGAAATATTAAATTGCAAATGTTTCTTGTGAATAGTTCTTCGTCCTCGCCGCCGCCTTGGCTTGCGCCAACGCTGGATACCTCGGAGCCCCCGCCGCCGTCGGATACGCCGCCGCCCCCGTCGCCACTTACGCTCATGCCGCCCCCGTCGCCTACGCCCCGGCCGCCGTCACCTCCCAGTCCTCCAACACCCTGAGGTCCTTCGGAAACTTGGGACAGGTCTCCACCTTCCACAAGACCGTCGACACCCCTTACTCCAGCGTTTCCAAATCTGACGTCCGTGTCTCCAACCCCGGATACGCCACCTACGCCGCCGCCCCGGTCGGTTACGCCGCTCCCGCTGTCGCTACCTACGCTCACGCCGCCCCTGCCGTCGCCACCTACGCCCACGCCGCCCCCGTCGTAGCCAAATCCTACGCCGCCCCCGTCGCCCACGCCGGTCTCCTCGGAGTCGCTTACTCCGCCGCTCCCACCGTCTCTCACCTCGCCTTCGACGGATTCGGAGCTCACTACGGATGGTAAATGTCGTAACAACGACTTAAGTTCCTAACAATCGAAACCATCTTTCCGCTTACTATTCTTCTCCGATACTTCCTTTTCTTCCACCAGTTATTTATTTATTTTCCTAGTCCAAAATAAATTCATAAAATTCTATTTTCTTTTTTTCTATTATACCTTTCCCTTAGATCTAGCGACAATATTGCTTATTTCAAGCAAAGAAAGACGTTAGTTACTTTTTGGAACAACACGTACGTTTACGGGTCATTGAAAATGAAAAGTAATAGGTCCTTACTTTTGGTGAAAAAAAAGCCTAAAACATTTTATTATTCTCTTTTTAATGATCATTTTATAGGCTTAGCTTGGCTGCGTTAATAATTTATAATTAATATTATCATGAGCTTTAATGATACAATGGTATCATAAAGAGTTGTACATTGTAATATGGCCAAGTTTCCAATTACTGCTAGATTGCTAATAGTGCGAATTTTTAGAAATATTTAAAAGATATACAGTTTTTCCCACGCTTATTTGAGCTAATGCAATTAATTGAAGGAAATTTAATTGAAAATATTTTGGAAATTTTTCTAGTCAAATTGTTTTACTGAGTGTTGAAGTGTTTTCCACAGCATCTTTTGACTACGAATTATCTTTCCTTTTTTTTCTCAATCTACTTTTTTTAATAGCAAGGAAAGAGTGTAAATGTTTCAGTTTGAGCTGTCAGATTGAGAGTTTTCCCTTTTAAACCTTCGGAGGGAAGCCAACTATTGGAAAAATCCTTCCTTGTTGTTCCTATTGGAAAATTCTCGCAATAATTTTTATGTTTCTAGGAATTATAAATTTGATTTGAATTTAACCATAAGCTTAAAATGAAATATACCTAGTAGGGGAAGCATAAATCTTAGAATAAAATAGTTACTTCCCCAATTTATACAAATCTTCAACATAGAACAAAAACTCATCAAAACATATAATGTCGATACAAAATAACTAAAGATATTTGGAATACGAACGAACAAATGAAATAACCTTAAATTGAATCGGAGTGTAACAAGTTTAAGATTCCAAAATTTGTTGAAATGAGTGACGAACATCATTTTGTTAGCCGTACCTAAGCGCTATCGAATGAGTCAAAAATGGTTAAGATTACAGCGTTACTTACGGTAGTAAGAACTTAATTTCACTAATTTCCTGGTCCGCTTGACCAATTAATACATTACAATTAATTAAGGTTTTTTTTAGTTGAGATGAAAAAACCCATAAGGTGGGGTTGAGATGGGGAGTTGATGTCCGAGTGGATCGAGGTCACGATAGCTCAGGTGGTAGAGCAGCGGCGTATCTAGCCGAAGGTCGTGGGTTCGAATCCCTCTCGTGCCATTAACTTTTTTTCATCTCAACTAAAAACAAAAATAAAAAAAACCTTAATTAATTGTAACGTAGTAAGAACGTTATGAAAAATATTAGTTAGAACAAGGCGGATAAGATTCCACACAGTTTCTTACCTTGCGATAGGAACTTTTCAGTGATCAAACGTGTTGTTAGAAGATTGGATAGAATTTACTCCCTCAGTCAGTATGAAGAGATAATATGAACACCTAAGAAACCAGCTCCCCATTTTGAGGTACGAACCGTTGATGCTGACCTGATTTTGGATGTCAACGGTTGGTGGCCTCAGTATTACAAAAAGACAACGACAAGCGTTGAGAAAAAAAGAATCAAGTTCAATATAAGCAAGTACAGACATCTCGTGTATTCGAATGCCTGGTTGCGTTAAAGCCTGCGAATTGCGACGATTTCGCCAAATTTTGAAATTGGATTTTCTCTATGGCGGTGTTATTATCCATTATCTGGGAATCGTCTCGCCCTGAGAAAGGGTTTGAGGTGCGATATGTGGCCGGAGGCGGTGTGGAGGAAAGAGGGGATATCCAGGATAAACAAACAGCCGACATAGTGAGGCGTTTTCGAAATATATGCCAATCAGAGGTCCAGTTAATAAGTGGTAACAACTGTCCAACAAGAATACATTTTGCGGCCATCTTGGAACGGCAAACCTGGGATCCCGGAAATTCATGTCTACACTAGGTGTCTTTTAAGAGACGTAACCTTGATAACCTTGATTTTTGTCAAAGCCAGTTAATTTCAAAATTATAATTTTTGGCCGAAGTTAAAAATTTTGTTTTAAAAAATAAATATATTTTTTTCTTTGCTTAAAGGTGTACATTTTTAATTTCATTTCTAATTTCGCTATTACGTTTTATTTTATTATACATTACCTTTTCGTTAGTTTGATCTGATAAAGCATTGTTTCAACAAGCCTACATAACTGGGCGCATATGTGAAGGCAGATTTTTAGAGGATAGTCTTCTCTATACATTTCAAAAGAAAAATCAATCGTATAATTGAAACTGACCCTCACAGAATCGATTGATGGATTAATTCCAGTTATTTTCAAATTGGCTAAAACTGGCAACTACCTTCACTGAAAGCTTATCGGGGAAAAATATCAGTCAACTACAAGAAAGTAGAAGACATCAAGAAGGTGGTGCACTACGTGCCTGAAGATTTAACCGTTCTACCAAGGGATTTTGGCCAACTACCAACCAGGATTGTGAGAGCGACAACGACAATAATTAAAATGACTTTTTGCATTTTTTATTACATGATTATTTTGCTTTTTTTCTCAATTAATGGAAGAAAGATAAAATTCCAACAGATGTTTTTTAATATAGGTATAGATACCAAGGACTTTTTTTTGAACAACTCACATAATTTCCTTCAAGTTTTAGAATAATCGTAAAATAAAAATATTTTGATTAAAACTATTAAAATTAAATTTTTTTTGTTTTTCTCAAAATTGGAAAATTGGATTCTTAACCTTGTAACACTCACTGATTCAATTGTCCTGTATCCATCAGTAAATAATTAAACATACCTTCAATTTAAAAAAATAATATTAAACAAACAAATTCATTCACCACATGACGATAAAATAATAAGATCTATGCCTGTTTCGGTTTTCTTTCGCCCATATCCAAGCTAACCTGACCTGAGGTCGACTCGGCCCGGCCGCGAAAAAGGGCGGCCCTCTCGCGATTTCTCCGTCCGCGAAGACCAACCACAATTTATGACCTTAACGTTTTAAGTCTTATTATTGGGGATAAAAAAAACGTAATTATATTAACTTGTAGGTTTCTGCGGGCGCGAGGCACCCTCTGAAGTGTTGACATAGCCAAAATCCAAAGCTAGAACTTCGAGTTCGATAATACGACACATTGCACAATAGCTGGATGGTAACATGAACTCATTCACAAGCCGCAATGATGGGGAACGTGAAAATTTGTTAATTAATACACGTGGGCAACTAAAAATCTTAATGTCACTTAAAACAATCGTGGGTGTTGAATGTGTTTATCTGAAATCCTGGGTGGCCAGAGCGACAATCGTTTCCCAGTATTGATAAGCTGCTTGTTTACTTCTTGGTTGTCGCTGCCATGTTTGATGATAATGATGAAAGGAATCTAAGAAGTGGAGGTTTATGTCCCCCAAGCACTACAGGCTTCTGATTTATTGTACTTTCCTAGTTCCTTAGTTCACTGCAATCGACTTGATCCTTCTCCTAAGGAAGACAGGTTATTGACGGTCATTGCTACAATTCCTTCCCCTGGGTTTTCTTTGCATCCCAGGATATACCTCCATTGAGCGATTTCGAAGATGACATGGGTGACTGTTTCTTCCTCCACACTGCATAATCTACAGAAGGGCTGGTTATCGTCAACATATACTTGTTTTGTCATATTTCCTCAGCCAGTGACCGGTTAATAGTTCATCACTCATCGGAGTTTAGCCCTNAGGGCCGCTGGATTCGAACCCGGGACTTTTACCTTACAGTGATGAGCGCCGTGTCAACGCCTAAACCGTTGCGGCCACCGACGCCCCCTCGTTGTGATTATTATTTCAAATTTGTGAACTATTTTTGCATGAATTTGATTTCTGTGTTCTTTGTGTTAGTGACAATTAGTTAAACAACTTTACTTAAGATTAAGTGTTTTTTTGTTGCCCTCGCCATTTTTCCGCAATTGTTTGCATTGCGAAATATGTGCCCGTTTTTCATCTGCTTGGTTATTTGAATTTTGCAGCATATACGATACATTTGAAATCATTCATTTAACAATTAGTGGTTTTTCTTTAAATTTGAGTCGAAATACTATGTTTTTTCATTCTGACAGTTTCGAACGGAAGATAATTTTGTTTGATTATGTGAGGGATCACAATAGGCTTTGATATTCATTTTAAACTATATTTATTCATAAAAACGGAGAGGTTTTGAATTATTGATTCTGCATATAGCTAGAATATAATAACAATATATGAATAAAACTAAGACAACACCCTTCTACTGCTCTTAACGTCAATCAACGGGCGACCAATGTAACTTTACGTTTTACAAAATATTACAGATTAAAATTACATGGGCAGTGCCGCGTGGCACATATGAGTCTGAACCCAAAACCCTGGGACACTGAGCCATCCCCTCAAAAAAGTAAATATATTTCAAATTAAACAAATTATAAAAACAAAGAAAAACGATCATGATAAGAATATTAATAGTTGTTTATAATTATAATTATTTAAACAAATTTACTTAATACCTATCATGAATAAATAAATATAAATTTTTGGACAAATTTGGTAGTAATTCAAATTTATTTAAACAATCTTTTTAGTTTAGGTTTTTGGTTGAAATGAAAAACCTTAACTAAAAAGATTAATTAATTGAAAGAAGTAATTTGCTCAACAGACTACTAGATATAATGGATTTATTTAAACATTTTATTTATACGGTTGTGAAAACAACCAGTTAAAATGCGTGATATTTTGTTGGACGGCTGAAGAATTACGGAAACGTGTGTAATAGAGTTAACGAGAGACGGTGGCCAGGGCTAAATTCAAGTAATAATTTCTACTCATAAACATATTATATAATATAAAATAAAACCGAATTGAAATAAGAAATAATACGGGAAGTGGATATCCATGACCTTTTCTCTTCAGACCTCTCTCAACTATGGGCTAATATGAATGAGTTGGTATGATCCGTGGAGAAATGGCCTTGCCAGGGGGTGTGTCCACCTGAGGGGAGGAATATAAAAGGCACTGCGTTTTAGATTGAAGTCAGTTTGTGTCTCAACGCAGATCTTTCAACATGTACAAGGTAGAAACAAAAGTGATTGAAAGAAAAATTTTAGATTTTGAAATATTAAATTGCAAATGTTTCTTGTGAATAGTTCTTCGTCCTCGCCGCCGCCTTGGCTTGCGCCAACGCTGGATACCTCGGAGCCCCCGCCGCCGTCGGATACGCCGCCGCCCCCGTCGCCACTTACGCTCATGCCGCCCCCGTCGCCTACGCCCCGGCCGCCGTCACCTCCCAGTCCTCCAACACCCTGAGGTCCTTCGGAAACTTGGGACAGGTCTCCACCTTCCACAAGACCGTCGACACCCCTTACTCCAGCGTTTCCAAATCTGACGTCCGTGTCTCCAACCCCGGATACGCCACCTACGCCGCCGCCCCGGTCGGTTACGCCGCTCCCGCTGTCGCTACCTACGCTCACGCCGCCCCTGCCGTCGCCACCTACGCCCACGCCGCCCCCGTCGTAGCCAAATCCTACGCCGCACCCGTCGCTCACGCCGGCCTCCTCGGAGTCGCTTACTCCGCCGCCCCCACCGTCTCTCACCTCGCCTTCGACGGATTCGGAGCTCACTATGGATGGTAAATGTCGTAAAAACGACTAAAAGTTCCTAACAATCGAAACCATCTTTCCGCTTACTATTCTTCTCCGATTCTTCCTTTCTTCCACCAGTTATTTATTTATTTTCCTAGTCCAAAATAAATTCATAAAATTCTATTTTCTTTGTTTCTATTATACCTTTCCTTTAGATCTAGAGAAAAAATTGCTTATTTCAAGCAAAGTAAAAACATTAGTTAATTTTTAATGGCTTTATAGAACAACACAGAGGGTTATGACTAATTTCAGTTTTTTTATAGGTGAAAATACAATTACAAACATATTTATGGTGAAAGAAAAAAAAACAGAAAAAAATTTATTGCTCTTCTTTAATTGATAAAGTTAGCAAGGCTTGTCATATTTAATAATTAACAATTAAAAATATCATGACCTTTATTAATGCAATGGTTTCTTAAAGAGTTGTAGTTATAATAGGGTCATGTTTTCAATGACAGCTAGATTACTGATAGTGCAAATTTATATAATTATTTATTATTATTTAATATCTTTTCAATTAATCAATCTTTATGTAAGGTATTGGTTGAGATAAAAAACGTCATTGTCACGAGCGGGATTCGAACTCACGACCTTTGGCTAAATATGCCGCTGCTCTACCACTTGGGCTATCGTGACTTCGATCCACTCGGATACCAACTTCCCATCTCAACCACACCTTTTGAATTTTCCCTCCATTTTGCCATTTTTCAACCAATACCTTACTTAAAGATTGAAAAGAATTTATTTGGTCAATCGGACCACGAAACCTAATCGAATTATTTAATATTATTAAAGCTGATGTCATTAATTTTTTGAAGGCATATTTAATTATTGTAAATATTGTAAAAAATTTCTAAACATATTGTTTAACTGAATTTTGTGGTATTTTTCAATTGTTTTTAATTACGCGTCTTTTTCTCGAAACACCCTTATTGAAAAATTAAAATCAGTTATTGGGTGTAAGTGTAATTCAGTTGAGCCTACAGATTCTTTATCAATATGTTTTATAACTGTTTACGCCAGTAGTTAAATTTAGTTTTGTAAATAGTTTTACACTTAATCCATTAGAAACAATAGTCCTCATTTTCTGAAAAACACTAACTCTCTTCTCTATCGCTCTCACGAATAACCTAAGTCTCGCTTCTACTGTTTTTTTGTTTTTGTTTTTCTTAAAGGTTTTAATTTCATTCTTAACTGGTGCAAGTGCCTTCCCTTAACTTTATTTTACCCAAAAATTATCATGCTGTGCTTTGGAGACTCCGATCAACTTGGGCCTGAAATTCCGTAGCAATAAAACGAAGAATATGACCGTTCAGAATACGAATTCATTGTAAGAACTTGTTTTATTTTCTTATATTTCAAAAAAAAAAAAAATTCCGACCCACTTGGATTTGGGCTCAATGTAGATATAGGCCTAATTGAAGAATATTTAAAATTTCATAATTACATTACACAATTTATTAATACATTTTTACCGGGTTCTGAACGTTTATGGTTTAAATGATCAGTTCGGAGCCGCTGCCAATGGTTAACTTTTTCTATAACGATAATTAATGATAAATATTCAAAACAGAGATGCAATGTAATTGTTGTTTATAGTAATTAACATTACAGTTGTTGGTAAATAAATGTATATATTAAATTAGATAATTGTGAATTAATCAATGTGATTAATGCTTAATCAGGCGTCCAGTTATAGATTAAACCTGCACTACCCCAGCGTCTTGACGGTTAAGTATATTTCACTCATAAGATATTGAAGTACATTTTTTCTTTAAAGCATTTGTTATTTACAATTTCGAAAATTTAAATTCTTTTCGACAGCCAACTGGATGAGAAAATTAATTTACTCTACAGAACATTAGCAAAAGTTGTTTAATCGGATTGTAATCATGGGTAATATTTGAACACGACATATTTCAAAATCATTTTCATGAATAAAATATGCTGTGAGATAATCGTGAGCTATATCAGTGGAATTTGTTCGTGTCATTATTTTTTTATATTAATTTTAGAATAATTGCATCAAAACGTTTCGAGATCAGCACTTTAAGCAAGGATTTATTTTTAAGGAAAAAATAAATAAATACAACAATATTTAATTACGGAAAATTTTTATTGGGACTAGGAAAATAAATACAGGAATAAATAAATGAATCGGATGGTGGATGATCGGATTTGATGATAATCGATGGGATTAAGGTAATTACCATCCGTAGTGAGCTCCGAATCCGTCGAAGGCGAGGTGAGAGACGGTGGGGGCGGCGGAGTAAGCGACTCCAAGGAGACCGGCGTGAGCGACGGGGGCGGCGTAGGATTTAGCTACGACGGGGGCGGCGTGGGCGTAGGTGGCGACAGCAGGGGCGGCGTAGGTGGCGACGGCAGGGGCGGCGTAGGCCTTGGTGACGACGGGGGCAGCGTGAGCGTAGGTGGCTACGGCGGGGGCGGCGTAAGCGACCGGGGCGGCGGCGTAGGTGGCGTATCCGGGGTTGGAGACACGGACGTCAGATTTGGAAACGCTGGAGTAAGGGGTGTCGACGGTCTTGTGGAAGGTGGAGACCTGTCCCAAGTTTCCGAAGGACCTCAGGGTGTTGGAGGACTGGGAGGTGACGGCGGCCGGGGCGTAGGCGACGGGGGCGGCATGAGCGTAAGTGGCGACGGGGGCGGCGGCGTATCCGACGGCGGCTGGGGCTCCGAGGTATCCAGCGTTGGCGCAAGCCAAGGCGGCGGCGAGGACGAAGAACTAAAAACATTCAACATTGTTTACAATTTATACAAAGTTATATAACAACAACAAAAAAGTTATAAAACTTTATATACTAAAAAATTCATGAGTAACTATGATTTTCTTTTTTACTGGTTAATAGAACTGAGAATTAAATTATTCATTCAAGTTTTATCACGAATGGTCGCTGTTAAGCCAGCATACCTTGTACATTTTGATGTGTTGTGTTTGAATACCACGAGTGATATGAAGTTCAAGTAGCTTTCTCACCTTTTATACGTACCAACCGCGGCCCCTCCAGTCAGATAGACAGTGTTGGGCAACAGCGTATCCAGACTGCCATAGCCAAGGACCTACGTACACCTCGCCCAAATAACCCAATTTGCCAAATATCTCTCCTCGGAGGGAACTATGACTGTATTATAGTCGCCCAAGGTGTTCTACTTAGGACCTTGTTTTCGTGTCAATTAATTATATCGTACAAAAACAAAAAAGGCAGGTGTCCAATTCCTAGGTTTTTTATTAGTCGCCAATGCTATTTCCATTTTTTCTTGTCTACTTCGGTCAATAAATCGTTATTTATTTTTAATTTTACTATCTATATTTTGAAATTTCCCATTGTATTTTTTTCATGAACGAAGTTTCCAATTGCCTCACCTTAAAAGCGTTAAAAGAGTAAAATTGAAATTTATGTTTATGTACCTCCGCCTCGGCCAACAGGCAATGTTGCCAGAAGAAAATAGCCCGAAACGTCGACGAAAAATATGAAATAAAATAGCCTGTTTTTAAAAACACCACGAGAAGATACCGCACCTTAAAAAAAATTTAAAAAGAAGAAAAAGGTTTAAAAAAATATATTTTAACGTTGAATTAACTAAAAAAACATGATTAAAATTGATGGATAAGGCAAATTTGAAAGCAAAAACAGTTCCTTAATTTTCAAGGAATATATCCCCTTCATCAGATCTTTAAAACAATTATTAATCATTCACACGGTTAATATTTGCTATTTGAATAGCAAATATTAACATCTATTTACAGTTCCATTTTCTATTGATAGAGGAAAGATATACATGATCCATTCTATACCGGAATGAATGACGGCCCGTCTTCAAATTGTGCAAATTTAACGACCCTCTTTTCCTAATGAAGATGATACACACTTCTTAACTGATGGACTATACCTCTTAGCAGTACTTTTCAACCTTTCTACAGCAGTTATATCATCGCCATTCGGAATTGTTACCACCTTAAACAAATTTCAATATATTACAACAAATGTAAGTTAAACGTCAACACTAATAATATCAAAGTTTGACCAATAATACCACTTTATTAAAAGCCGACCGATCGTTCGGGACTACATAAATTTATTAGGTAAACTAATCTCGATGAAATTGATTCACCATCGATAAAGGCCTGCCATAAACATAACCTGTACAAAAAGTACAGTCCAACAATATGTGATTTATGCAGGTTGTTTCCAATCTTCAATTAAAAAAAAAATATGGAGCAGTATAAACATACTAGTGTTGTATTATTCTTGCATAAGTCCGATATTAAATTATTCTCGCCCAGTCTGGAATACAACATCAAGAAGTTCCAGACACCACTACAAGAACAAAATTCGTACTCCGAGAACTCATGATACCACATCGGAAAATAACTAAGACTTTTTTTTCGCATTGCGCTACTCAACCAAACCCATCTATTGAAAGAAGTGGGCCACTACTATCGCAGTACTGTAACAGAGAAATAAAGTTGAGGCTCGGAGATGGATGTGCTGGCATGCTCATTTGTTGACTTAGTTGGGCTGAATAAGCCTTTCGGGGGTTACAGTACGTTCAGCCGCCAGGTTAGCTTTTTTTTAATAGGACTTAGATCAAAGTCTCTATCCTTAACGTAGTGTAATCTATGTCGGCCAAGTGTGGGGGATTTCAGCATTGCTCATTAGAAAAACGCCAAAACCTAAGTCCTAACTAAATGTTCACTTCCAGATTTTTTATAGCCTTATTTTGTCAATATCAGCCATTCATTTACTACTTTCACTAAAAAGACTACATAATCAAAAACGCAAACATTTAAAAGAAAATAACATCGAAACTAATACAGCAAAAAAACTATAAAACTAACAATGCCCAAATAATAAAAGACAACGGAAATAATCGACTTCACGAAAGACCAATGAACATCAATGAAAACCTGCGAGTGAAGATGGACCCAATAATTGACCCAATGCCGGTTCAGAATAATAAAAACAGTAATTATCCTTTTTATATAAGGTCTTGGTTGAAATGAAAAAGCTAGTGTCACGAGCGGGATTCGAACCCACGACCTTCGGCTCACTACGCCGCTACTCTTGCCACTTGAGCCATCGTGAGTTCAATCTACTCGGACACCAACTCACCATCTCAACGTCTTCACTTCGACCAAGACCTTACATAAAAAGAATAATTAATTGAAAGACGTAATTTGGTCAATAGACCTATAAACATAATGGATTTAATAAGTAAAACTAAGTATAACTTCACTAAAAGCTCGCCGTGGTCACTTCATAAGTCGCTGAGAATCGAATCCTGATTACACGACATTTGAAAAATGGCAAAAGAGAGGGAAGATTAGAAAGGTTGCAGGTTGAACATCGAAGTCACGATAGCTCAAATGGTAAGAGCAGCGGCGTATTGAGCCGAAGTTCGTGGGTTCGAATCCCGCTCTTGACACTAGTTTTTTCATTTCAACCAAGACCTTACATAAAAATAATAATTAATTAAAAGAAGTAATTTGGTCAATAGACCACCAAACATAATGCATTTAAAAACAGTAATGTTTTATCTAAACGATCGAAACTGTTGAACCCCGTAGATATACTGCTGCATCAGAAATACACTATTGGTTTGATGTATTTGTCTTTTGTATTTGTTAAAATGGAGCTAAATTTAATTATTCTCAGGCAAACGCTATTTTTCAAATAGAAGTCGGAAATTATTTGAAACTATACGATATTTCCGTCATGAAATTTTTGTTTTTAATTATTTAAATGTTTTAAGAGGGACAAGTAATAAATATATATACAAAACTAATCTACTTTCCAAGTTAAAAAATCAATAAACCAAATTATCAAAATTCCCCAGGCGTTTTTCCCTTATTAAACTATTATCACTTTATTCAATATAAAATAATTTATTAATTTAGCGAAGTGAACGTTTCCCGTAAGAAAGGGCGGTTTAATTAATTTATTTTCGATGTAATAGAATCGGCGAACGAGCCCGTAAATCATTTGGGCAACTTGGCCGTTTCGCAACCGAAGCTGATCGACATTTACTGTTTGAGATACACTTGGTAACGCCGGAGCTTTTTCGAATGCCATTTAAAAGTAACATGATAGGTTACACGGAACACTTCAAATGTGAACGATCGACAAAACAATATTTATAATATTTTCATTTTTTTATTTATTTATTTGTCCAACTGTGATCTGACTGGATCTGTGATTGTTTTTGAATGTTATTTGATAATCGATTGCAAATTTTGAGAACTATTTTGAGTTTCTGATGTTTTTATTTTACAAGGGGAGGCTACGGACGTGGGATCAAAATAGGGTCAAAAATATTAGGCACGTGTCCAAGGTCCTAAGAGTCTAGAAAACAAATATTTTAGATAATTTAAATATTTTTTTAAAACATGGTGTTCGTTTTTTTGGTTCATGAATTTTAAGGTTAACAAAACATCGATTTTTCTTTTTTCCTAGGCCTAGAACATATTACTCTTATTAAGTGAGATTATATACATAATAATTTACAAAAATTATCAGTAAAGTAGGCAAAAAAGTGTGTGATTAGTCGATGATTATTCGGAAATCGTGAGATGCGGTCTGGTGTGTTGTAGTTTCAGTAAAACATCTTCAGGGCCTGTGATTTATAATTGTTTAAATTTTAACAAATATATGTGGAAAAAATGAATTTATACAGTGCAAAAAATATATTTTTTGTATTCAATCAAAGTATTTCTACTCACTCAAACGACACGCAAGAATGGCACACTTACGCAGAAAACAAACACTTTGAGTGAGTAGAAATACTTTGATTGAATATAAAAAATATATATTTTGTATTGCAAAAAAGCAATTTTTTCTACATCCTACATGTATTTGTTAAATTTAAACAATGTTTGTAAATCCCATGACCTGAAGATGATCTCAATAAAGATCGAAACGTTGGCACGATAAAGAAAATGTTTTTCTGAAACCTATATCACACCAGACCGCATCTCACGATTTCTGAATAATCGTGGGCAAAAAAATTCTATTTTGAAAAGTATTGTTTTGAGCATCATTTAAAGCCCCTAAATACTTTATATAGCATATATAGATAATTTATGTAGCAAACAAAAATTGGAATTTTTAGGGTGGATCTGCCAAGGGCAATTTTTTTTTCTCTGGTGTTTCACTTAAAAATTCATAACTTCTATGGAATTTCCAAGAGGGACCGTAGGAAATCCACGTTTTCCTTGTTGTGCCTATATCGACAACTTTTGCTTTTTATGCGATGATACATCAGACAAAAAAGGATGAAATCAACACAAACTTCTCAATTGTTTTATTTTATATGTTCGCTCTGATTTTTTTTCCGAAGGCCAAGTTTGTGTCATTACGAGCAAGATCTAAAGTTCTAAATGGAATTACAATTTCCTATGGATTTGATGGGCCGTTGTCACCATTTTTGTTATTCTTGCAAAAGAATATCGGAGGCATTTTAAAGGCAAAAAAGTTCAGAAAAAAGTTATTTTTTGATTTTCCTAAAAATTTGTATTCAGAGGGGTTTTGGGTTTTCAACAATTCAGCAATTAAAACAACAACAAGGTTGAGATGGGGAGTTGGTGAGGTTGGATCGAAGTCACGATAGGTGAAATACTTAGAGCAGCGGCGTATTGAGCCGAAGGTCGTGGGTTCGAATCCCGCTCGTGACACTAGCTTTTTCATTCCATCCAATACCTTACATAACGATTAATTAATTGAAACTAATTATATATGTCAATACCTACGATATCTATTATGACTAGCTGCGAAATATAACTTTGATTTAATGACCTAAAACAAAACCTTGTTGCTAAAGACTGAAAAAATAGAAATTAAGCTTTCTAACGGTTGTAATAATATGGATAAAACGAGGAGTTTTGAATTTTTATGTGGAACACCGGAGGTCATCTGAAAAAAATTGCCCGCGGAGGAATGAGCCTAAAATTATATAGTT